GTCACTGTAACTTGGACATCAGGCCTGATCCCAGCGTGCCCTTTAGACAGTGCCCTGGAATTGCTGCTTGATGGCACCCAGCCCTTGGCAGCTCCAACTTCTAGCAGTCTCCGCCGTTGGTCTAGCATCCTGGAAGCATCCCGAAAACCTGACCCTTTCCCACCTTCACTGTGAGGCTGCTGAGGCCAGTGGATCCCCCTACCCCTCCCCATCAAAGTAAGGTATCTGCCCCCCTGCCAAGCAACTGAACCCCAAGGCCAAGATCTTGGTGACAATGGGACTATGAGTCACCAAACAAACACACCCAGCTGTCTCAGATTTTGAATTTCCACTGCAAGACCTGTTTCAGGCCCACAGGGCGGCTGAAAGCCACCCCGCCTTCCCCTACCCTCTCAGTCCTGGCTGGAGCCAAAGTCAGTCAACAATTCATTAATTATTTCAGCATCTATTAAGTAATTGCTAGTTCCAGGCCTGTGCTATGGGCTGGACACAGGAGTCCGTAAGCAGCAGCCCATTTTGAGAACTTCTGGTGAGGAAGGGCAGGCCTGCTCACAACTAATGAACGTGGTAATCGTTTTCCAAGCCCTGGGTGTTTGGGGCTAGTAGGGACAGTGCATGCTGCAATGTTCACAAACAAACCTGTCACCTTGGTTCTGGAGGTAGGCCCGGTCTAGAGGTGGGATACGAACGCCATGGAACTTTGATGCAGGCCGTGTAGTTGACTGGGAACGGGGACTAAGTGGGCCTCTTCACTCCTGCTCCTCAGTGATTGTGAAACAAGGCTAAAGATGGGCTGGGAACAAGAAGGGAGGGATGGAGATTCTGCTTGGCCTCTGGAGGCTGGTGCCTGGCAGTGCTAGCTCTGCCCTGAGGTGAGAGCCACACTTACAGACCTGTCCTCTTCTCCCAGGTTGTCTGGAAGTGGAATCGGCCCTGTGAACATCTGTAAGTTCTTGGCTACTCCCCCACCCCCCGCAGTGCCAGCTGTGAAGACTTAGATAGCTAGAGCGTAGTAGATTGGCTCAAGAGCCCCGGCTTGTGGAGTTAGGAGCTTCCCCTTCCACACACAGTTCTGGCAGGTTCCATGGAACTCATATCCACCCAGCTCAGGGGCCCAGAGCAAGAATGCAAAGGCGAGAGTAGAGGGAAGCCAGGCCAGGAATGGCTTTGAGACCCTGGGGAGGGCCCCACGGTTGTAAGAAGTTTCTTTTAAGCTGGGGGGTCTTGTTCGAGAAGGGAGGCAGGGCAAGGAGGGGGGCGGCTATGGCAGGAAGGTGGGCTGGGGGTGTGTGCACTAATCAGACCCTCTCCTCTTCCAGCTGTAGTGAATTCCACTGGGGGCAGTGGCAGCAGGCTCGTCTTCGACGGAACCATGGGGAGCAATGCTCTGAGCTTCTCAAGCAGTGGGGGGCTCGGAGGCCTCAAGGCCCATTCCATCAGGACCACATCTACCTCACGCAGGAGCCCCCACAACTGAGCACATATAACCAAGCTTGTGGGCTTGGAGAGTCTCCACAGCCCTTTGTCCACTTACAGGACCCCTCCTGCTTCACGTCCCTGTCCCACACACAGGCCCCCTCCTGCTCCACATCCCTGTCACAAGACAGAATACGGTCTGAAACTGCTGTTGGTTTTAGTAAAGTTCTCCTCTGAGCGACCTTCCCTTGTGGCCAGGACTGATGTGCACAGGGAGCAGAGGGTATGGCATGCTCAGGACTGGGGTTCAGACTGATAGGGGTGTGGCTCCAAGGTGCTTAACCCTACCCAGGGTGCCACCTAGGCCCCTGTCCAGGCTGGCATTGGTTCCAGTGCCTATCCTGAGGGCATCCAAGAAGGCCTCAGGGAACAGGTGGCGGCAGGTAGATGTTGAAGAACGCCATCCTCGTCAATTCCTGGGGCCTAGGACTATGTGTTCTGATACTTTTGAGGGGTTCCTCTGTAACTGAAATTCCCCGGGGGTAACTCCTGGGGGTGACAGAGCAGGGGTCTCAGAGCCTAGGCTGTTGAGAGAGAGCCTGAGTCTGGATCCCTGATGAAAGAATGGCTGTGTCTAGATACCTAGGGAGGGAGGAGGGGACCTCTGTCGGGGGCCTTCGAATATCTGGGTCTCTGCTGTAGAGCTTCAGGTGTTTCTGCATTGAGAGTTTTGGTCCCAGGCATGAGGGGGCACTGGGGCTGGTTTGAGGTCTCCAAGTGTGGGGTCCACAGGGTAGGATGGGAGCAGCATAAGGTGGTTGTAATAAAGGTCTACGAGTGAGCCTCAAAGGATAGCAGGGAGTGGGTGGGCACAGGGGACAGGATGGAGACCATCATCAAGGGTGTGTTGACTTCTGAGGAGTCTGTGATTTGACCCCATGGATATGGAGTTTTGAACTGGGGTATGGTGTGGAACAGGACATGGAGGAAGTGGGCCACTGGTGTCTTAGAGCTCTGAGTGGTGCAGTCCTCATCCAGGGTAGAGTCCGTCTCTCAGTGCCTTGCGATTCCTTGTATATGGGTTTGGGGCCTACCAACTCATCCCCTGTGTCTTGAGCACCATGCTGTGCAGAGTGGGTAAGAATCCAGAGACAACCCTCCTCCCTGGCTTAGGACTGGTTGGCTGGTGCAGGCAAACAAGCAGGGAGTGGCGACACTGGCACACAACACCACACACCCTTGCATCGCAGCAGCCTTTATTGAAACACAGATGGGGCACTCCAGAAGGCAAGGCACCCACAGACAGAACCAGAAAGTGGCCTCAGAGTCCCCATCCCATCAGCCCTCCCGAGGGCAGTTCCCTTCTGCACAGGCAGGGGAGGCCTGGAGCAAATATGGAGTCTTTGAAATGTGTAAAGGCGTCAGGAATAGCAAGACCAAAGCTCCTTAGCCAGGGGCTGTAGGTAGCAGGAATCCCCAGAGAGCAGACTGTTTTCTGGGAGGCAACCCAAGGAGTATGGATAGAGCATATTGTCCCAAGGAAGGCAGTCAGTCAGGGAGGTGACCAAACACAACCAATGATAGGCAGGTGCTTGCTGCCTCTGGGGCCAGAAACGGGAGCTTCTAGGGCAGGGTTCCCTCTGGTGCTTTAGTTTTTGGAGGAATGGCTGGGTAGTTAGGACTGTGCCTTGACCCACAAAGGCCAAGCTTTATTGTTTAGCCACCCTGGGTGACAGGTAGTGTCCCAGAGGGCTTGGTGGATGATACAAATCAATTATAAGTGTTTGAAGACAGGTTGGAATTAAGCAGAGGGTTGGGAATATCTTCTAAAGTGAAGCCCGAGGAAAACCAAGAAACAGCTCCCTAAAAGGAGAAGGTGGAGGAGAGCGGCCCTGACTCTTTCCTCCCATAGGAACATCTAGATTATTCTGGAAGCAAGCACACATTTTTTTTTATACACACATCACTCCACTCTGGGGCAGACAGACATCCCATTTGCAGGTCCTGGCACTAAGCAAAGCGCACTGAGCGACTGCTCCCACAGCTGAAGCTGGAGGATCTTGGCTGACAAGGAGTGCAGGAGTCAGGTGCCATCACTGAGATGCTGCCCCCAATGGCAGAGGGGCCAGAGGCAATCTGGCGCCCTGGGGTTGTGCCATATGTGAGGCCCCCACTTGTGACTCCACCACGGGAGCTGCTGACACCTGTGGGAAGAGGAACAGAGAAGGATAAGGGGCTTGCTGGTGTCACCCACCCACTGCAGGTGCCTGAGGGCTTCACATGCAGGGTCTGTGTCCTCCTCAAGGGATCAGTTGCTAATATGACATGTCCTATTCTTTCAACCTCATGGCACATCTGGACCCATTTCCCTGGACTGCAGTGTCTAGTGGCCACCAGTTAAAGGGTGCTCAACTGTTTTTGAAGCTAACCCTCCCTCCTTCCCCGGCCCTACAACCCTTCCCCACCTTCCACCCCCTTCCTGACCAGTAGTCCTTAGGGAGGAGCCTGGGGAAGAGGAAAGACTATGAATGTTGGGAATGTTGGAGGATCGGTGGGGTAGGCCCATGGTGCACCAGAGCCATTTTTCTAGGGGTCCTTTCCAGCAGATACTTACAGACATTCACGGAGCCCACACCCTCGCATAGCCTGAGGAGAAAGGAAAGCACCATTAGTTCTAAGCAGTGACCTGGGTCCTTGAGACAGTAGCTTGGGGACAGACAAGACCAGCTTTTGTTCTAGGTTGGAGCTATCTCCTGAGAGTCAGGAAGGGCTCCCCAAATCTTCTTTTAGAATGTTCATTTTCTGTCTTTAAAGTGTCCCCATCCATGGAGACCAGCCCTCCTGGTTTAGAGCAGTAGTGAGTGGAATTGTGACTTCCACACACCGCCTGCCATCAGTGCCTGAGCCTGCTGAATGCCAATAAGTGCTCACAGTAAGCATGAGGCAGGGCTACGGGTATACAGGGCACAGCATTCTTATTGTACATGAGTCCAACTCCAGGGAAACTCGGAATGGGCTTCAGAAGCCCAGGACCTAGTGTTGGGTCCTAGCTCTGCAGCTTAGTAACTTTGTGGCCATGGGAAAGGAGCTGAAGATTGAGCCATCCCTTCTCTGTTTTTGGATAGGAAAAATGGTACTTACCTGACAGGATGGAAGATTATAAATGGGTGCTTGACATAGAGCATAGGATATGTGATAGCTAACCATTATTACTGAAGCCTGGCCTGGAGTTGTGTGGTCAGAGCTATATGTCACACTTGTGCCCAAACCGTTAGCCAGGAGGCCCAGGGTCTCTGCCCCTTCCATGCAAGGACTGACAGGCCCTAACCAGCTTGTTTTTTCAGGACAGTTTGGTCCTCAAATGAACCCCCACATGGTTCTTCTCAGCTCACCTGTGTTCCTCGCCCTCCAGCAGGCGCCTGTAGGTGGCGATCTCGATGTCCAGGCCCAGCTTGGAGTTCATCACCTCCTGGTATTCCTTGAGCAGGCAGGCCATGTCCTGCTTGGCCTTCTGTAGGGCAGCCTCCAGCTCAGCCAGCTTGCAGCGGGCATCAGTGAGGGCGGCCTCTCCCTGCTGCTCAGACTGAGTCACTGCGGCCTCCAGCTTGGTGTTCTGGGATGCAGGGAGGGTTGTTAAAGTTCCTTGTTCTATGTTCAAGGGCCAAGTCCCAGTATTCACTGCTAAAAGTTCCTATTCTCAGTGCCATGTCTTCAATTCTGGACACCAGCCTACTGGTGCAGATTCTGGCTTCTTTTGAAAAAGTTAAGAGGCCTCGCCATGTTTGTCCTGCACACCCTCATTAGCTGTTCCTATTGAATCTGGTCAGTTCTGGTCTTTGTGTTTTTAAATTGGCTACCTCTTGTGCCTGGGACTAGCCTGTTGCTCATCATCCCAGCCTCCGTTTGCCTGAGTGTGTGACTCCTGACCTAGAACGGTGGGCTGGATGTTAAATTGCTTACCCCAAACCCGTGACTTGTGGGTGCCAGGATTGGTTTCTGAATTCATTTCCCAGCACCTTACAAACCACTGACATTCTCTCAGCCTCATTCTGGCCTGGGGACTAGGAAAGTCCCTGCATCTCCACATGGGGCATTGTCCCCATTCGATGGGAAACTGCTGAGATTAGAGTTGGCTTCTAAACCCACCCATTGGGAAGCTGCCTCCTGCTAGCTGACTGCACTCTCTCCTCATGCTGGGCATGCGGTGGGGGTTGGGCTTTTTACCTGGCACTTGGCGTTCTCAATCTCGGCTGTCAGCCTCTGGATGATGCGGTTCAGCTCGTTCATTTCCTCTCTGGTGCGGCGCAGGGTCTCCCCATGACGGATCACTGTGGCCTTCATCTCTTCACACTGAGAAGAATTGGACATGTCATGAAGTTCAGGGTAGGATGTCCACCCACTGAGCATACTGCCAGTGAGGGTAAGGCTGTTGAGTGCTTAGCCCGTAGAGCCAGGCAGCAAGCCTCACCCTGCTATGGGCTCTTTTCTGTTCTTTAGGAGGCAGAATGCTTAGACAAAGGACACCTCATATCCTTTCTATCACCATGTCTAAAGGACAAGTGTCCAGGTCACTCACCTTGGTGCGGTACCAGGACTCGGCCTCTGCCCGGCTGCGGGTGGCAATGTCATCATACTGAGCCTTGATCTCAGCCACGATGCAGTCCATGTTCAGGTCTCTGCTGTTGTCCATCTTGACGATGACAGAGGTGTCTGAAATGTGGGCATGGAGGATTCGGATCTCCTGTGGAGGAGAGGAAAGCTCTTTTTAGTTCACACCCCTACTCTTGGCTTACTACCTTCTCCCAGTCTTTCTCCTCCCCTGTGTCTCCAGTAGTCCCAGTCTGGTGGACACTGTCATGTCCCAGTGTCCCCCCGGGACCATCCCTCAGTGCTCTTCACATCATACCACAGGCCCAGGAGGAGGAGACAGAGTTGATGTCTGTAACCTCAGCTTGGTGCTGTTGCCCAAGCCCGTGGTTTACCAGCTGTGATCGCTGTGGTTACACTAATCAGGGAATCTAGCTTGCATGGGTGTGCAATGAGATGCAAGCTACAATTCTTCACGTTGACATCTGTCTCAGATCTCAACAGTATTCTGTCCCCTGACTCTGCTGGGAGGCTTAGAGACCAAAGTGGTCGCAAGTCCATCCCAAAGTGTTGCAGGCTCCTCCTGCCCGACTGCCCTGTGTCCCCTCACCTCCTCATACAGTCGCCGGAGGAAGTCGATCTCCTGTGTCAGAGCTTCTGCATTGGCCTCCAGGTCCGACTTACGGAGGTAGGCACAGTCCACATCCTAAAGGGAAGACGAAGCAGGAGTCCATGGGGAGCACACCAGAGTGCCTCTCTCCTCTCCAGTTATTAGACTGAGTGCCTCTTGGGAGGCCCTCAGCTGGTGGTCATCCCAGGGCCCGGTGCCATGGAGTGAGCAATACCTATTATGTCACTGGTGAGGAGTGGGAAGGGGACGCGAGGATCCCAGGCACAGCCTGCTTGTTGCCACTGGAATGGGTCCTCTATACCTACAGCTGGTTTTGCCACCAAAACCTGGGGTCTAGTGTGGAAGTGCGGAATGGGTCATTTCTGACCGGGCCCTGCAGCTATGTTCTGGATCTTAGAGAAGAACCAGGCCTAGGACAGAACTGAGGACCTTCTCACAGAAGTTCCCTCATCCGGGTGGTTAGGAGGTGAGTCCACAAGGCAGAGTCACGTTTAGGAAGCAAGCAACACCAGGCATCTTCATCACCATGTGTTTCACACTGTGGCTGTCCAGGGCGCCCTGGCAACTGGGGCTCTCTCCTTCACCACAACATATCAAGTGCCCGCTCCATTGACAGCCCAGCCCCAAAGGACATTAGAAGCCTAGACTAATGAGCATGAGATAACAGTGCCCCGAGTGAGGCTAGCATGGGGCGCTGAGGTCCAGGGCCATGCAGGGGTTAGTCTTTGTGACTCTGGGAAGCACTGGCCTCCAGGGCCCAGCAAAGCTGCCACGCGTCAGCTCGGGCTGAAGGATGACTGAGTCACTCACCTTCTTCAGGGCCACAAATTCATTCTCGGCAGTGGCCCTGAGTGCCACTTCTTCTTCGTACCTGGGGACAGAGGGCACAAGGCACAGATTTGAGGAGGGGGAAAAAGAAAATAAAGGACCAGATAGACATACCCCAGGACCTCACACTTTGGAGGGGACCATGACAGTTCCCTGTGCTCCTACATTCTCCTGGCTGATTGCGTCAAGAGGGACCTTATGCCTTTCAAAGGCCTCCTCTCTCTGTCTGTACTGCGGCTGTCTGAGAATAAGAAGCCTGCCTGGCTCTGGAGCCACCCTTTCTTTGCCCGGTCCCCATCCAGGGCCTACTCCAGCACCACCTAGAACACAGCGGGTGCTCAATAAGCCTTTGTGAATTAAGAAAAGAAATAAGTAAAAATGAGTATCTTAGAATCTACAATCTTCATTTTAAAAAGCTTTTTGAGATTTCGTTTATTTTTCTTCTAAGTGTATGGATGTTTGCCTGCATGCGTGTCTGTGTGCTCATGTGCATAAGATGCCAGTGGGGGCCAGAAGAAGGTGCTGGACCTCTTGGGGTTAGAGTTACAGATGGTTGTGAGCTGCCATGTGAGTGCTAGGAGTTGAACACTGATCTCCTGAAAGAGCCAGTGCTCTTTACTCCTGAGCTGTCTTAGTCCTAGCCCCCTCTGCCATCTCTAAACTCCCAGGCTAAGAGAAAGTTTCTAGCTCGTTAGAGCAGTGGTTCTCAGTCTGTGGGTCATGACTCCCTGAAGGTCGCATATCAGATGCTTTATATTATGATTCATAGTAGGTAGCAAAATTACAGTTATGAAGTAGCAATGAAAGTAATGTTATGGTTGGGGGTCAGAGCAGCCTGAGGGCTGTAGCCATAGGAAGGTGAGAGCCGCTGCTCTGGCAGCAGGAGCCGCCGTTGTCTTCTCTCTCTCGAGGATCCCTTTAGAGTCCAATCTAAAGCCATTGGTCTTTGACTTAAACTCACTTTGTCTCTGTGCACCCCCATCCCCACTGCCCTCACCTCTTCTTGTAGCCCTCCATGGCCTCCTGGGCGTGGTTGAGCTCAGCAGCCAGTCTCCCACTGTCAGCCTCCACAAACTCAGCCTCCCTCCTCAGGGTCTCGATGTAGCCCTCGAACAGGGGCTCCAAGTTGCTCTCACAGCACTTGCGGTTCTGGTAGAACTGCCACTTGGTCTCCAGCAGCTTGTTCTGCTGCTCCAGGAAGCGCACCTGCCATAGGAGAGGGAGAAAGTCTGTGGAAGGGAGCCAACCTGCCTTTGTCTCCTGATAAAACTCACTGAAGAGGTGTACAATGGATGGGCAAATGAATGTCTGCTCAGGTGGGCCCAGATGGGGAAACTGAGGCAGGGAGTTGTGCTGGGCAACAGAGAGACTGCAGGTAAGGCAGAGGCAATCAGGAAAGCTCCCTGGAGGAAAGAACACAGAACAGTGGAGGGGGAGGGAAGGGGCCTTTCACTATGCTCTTCCTCAGGACTTTTTGTAGCTTAGATGATTTTCTTGATAACCAGAGAGCTTGGTGAACAACTGAGAATGGATGAGGTGGGTAGGGTGTCCTGAACACAGGGAGGGGGTATCGGAGAGGCAGGGGTGGGTGTCCTGGGCACAGGGAAGGGGTATCAGAGAGGCAGGGGGTGAGTGTTCTGGGGCTCTTGTCACAGAAGAGGCCTGCAGTCCCAAGTGAACCTGAACTCGCAGGTCTCTGGAGACCATGTAGATGATGCAGACAGGAAAAGATTTTAGAAAAAGATGTCACTGTTTACTGTCATTCATGAAGACAGAAGTGCCCATGTGGCCAAGACCCACTGTGCTGGCGGAGAAGAACGACAGTAACCCAGGTTAGCCCTGGGCCTCTAGGTTTCTAGACCTGAGTTGGAGCAGAGTTGCCTGTTGGCTGCAGGACTGGTCCACCTCTTACAGCCAGGCCTGGCCCCTGTGCACCTTCTACCAAAGAGTACAGCTGAGGAGCCCTGGGCTGGAGCTTCCAGAAACGGTGTCTAGTGTCCTCCATACTGTGTCTTAGCCAATAGGATCCTGTGACTGTCTTAGCTCTACTTTCCATTTCAAGGTCATGGTGGGGACTCTGAGGTGGAGCAAGGAGGACACTGCTCCATGTCACCCAGTGAGCCAGAGGAGGAAGTAGGTGTTGGGCAAAGGCCACAGATTCTTGGGCCCAGGATCCATACTGCTCGACTGTTACCACTTTTCCAGGGTGTAGCCTGACTGCACGGACCTGTGGCTGTGAGCCTTGGGCCCTCTAATTCAGGGGCCTGTGGAACAGGACAATACGGGCCTGGGTCTAATCTGACTCTCTGTGGTTGGACAATGTTGTAACTGCCGTTTTCTCTTCTGGGTATAAAGGCACCAGTCTTCAACTGCCCTCTGTTCTAAGGCTGGCTACAGCTTGAAGAGGCGTGATTTATCTCCTCAGCTAAAGTTAACTAAGAGCTTCCATTCTGCCTGAGCTTCTAAAACCATTTAATTGGTCCTTAGGCTCCAAAAAGGGCCTGGCTCAGGACACCCACCTTGTCGATGAAGGCTGCGAACTTGCTGTTGAGGCACTTGATCTGTTCCTTCTCCTCATGCTTCACGCACTGAGCATTGGGGTCGATCTCCAGGTTGAGAGGAGTGAGCAGGCTCTCATTGACAGAGACGCTGGTGATGCAGGGGGGTGTGGGACCACAGACGCCTCCAGAACGGTATCCAAAGCTGCGTCCACAGGAGCCAGAGCGGAAGAAACCACAGACGCTGAGACTGCCAAAGCCCCCTGAGAGTCCACGGTAGCAGGAGATACCCCTGTAGGGAGCTGCGGAGATGCAGCAGCGGCCAGGCCTGGGGCCACAGGCCGAGGCGCAGCTGAAGGCTCCGAGGCGGGAGGAGAAGCAGGACATGATGTGCAGGTGATACAGGGCCAATCTGGACCCCAACGCCGGTGCTCAGCCTTATATCGTGAAGAAGGCGCGCACCCTCCGCCCCGGCGTTTACGAGCTTGCAGTTCGGAATCAAAGCAGCCAGGGCTGCCTGGCCGCCCCCATAAAACAGCGTTCTTCTCCCGCCCGCCTGTGCTTTATGGTGCCACGAAGAGCCTGGTCAGCTCCAGGGCCTGGCACTCTAGGCATCGGGCGGGACTCTCCTGCCCTGCGCTGGGACTCAGTGTGTCACCTTGTCCATTCCAGGCTGGCTCACACCCCAACTGGTCTCACCATGAAGGCTAGGAAATCCGGGCTTTGGGTGTCCAGTGACCTTTGAGTTCAGTGTGTGTGTGTGTGTGTGGGGGGTCATGCGCGCACATGTGATGAGGGACAAGGCCTTTGAAGTTATGGGCAAGTTCATGTCACGACTTTGGGCAGGTGAATAATCTTCCTGAGCCTTAGATGTCCTGTGGGGAGTAGGGATAAAGGGATAATAATTATAATATCCACCTGAGCGCTGCTGGGAGGAACTAATGGGATAATGGACCCGAAAGCCTCCAGGACGAGACTTGGCACTTACTAAGAGCTCCTGAGATGTTTGTTGTTTATCTATTTGTTCCACTATTATTAATTTGTTATTTCTCCTGTGTCCCCTTGGGTAGACACTTTCTCTTCCGCCTCTCACAGCTCAGCTCCTGCCTCCTCTTGCCCTTCGTACCCTTCTCTGTGCAGCTTGGAGAGGGAAGCCGGTAATACTGACGGGTTCGCCAACAACCCGCCTAGCTCACTGGAGAGGGGTTTTCATTGTTTTTGGAGACAGGGTTTCAGTAGTCCCGACTGACCCCAAATCACTGTGTAGCCACCGCTAGCCTTGAACTCTTAACTCTTCTCCTGCCTTCTCAGGCTTTCTTCAGAGATTGTGCCCAATCACCTGCTCGGGAAGATGAGCCCCACAGTGGTACAGGACTCATGGGGAAGGCTCCGAGGAGTGGCCTTGGAACCTGAGGGTCTAGGGCTGCTAGGTGCTGTCTCTACGGGGCATGTGCTTGTGCACCTGGAGCAGGAGTAAAGCTGAGTTCTTGGAGGCAGGATTTGGGCTGCTCTAGGCTCCCCTCAGTTCACTGATGGTCAAGGACACTGACTCCAGGCGGCCAGAGCCATGACAAAGGAGGTTAATTGTGTGTCTTATTATTAGCAGCGGAAACCGGAGTGTGGACTCAGCAGCCGGCATTAAAGGGAAGCATGCGTGCCACCGCGCTTCCTTTGTTTTAAAGCTGTGCTATTATTGTGTATGCAGTAATTAAATCTGGGAACTCCGAGATCATCACGGGCATCCCGGCCTCTCATTTCCAAGGAGTGTCCCATTGCCATTATTGCTGTCTTTTTTACATTCTCTCTTGGGTTGGGTTGTTTTGGTCCAACCTGGGATTGTTTCATATAGGTTTAGCCCAACCATGGTTCTGTGCATGAGATGGTCCCCCAACTCTAGTGTCTTGGATATAGGATTCTTTTTCTTATTGACGAGGTTTTATCTGTAGCTCAGGGTGGTGTTGAACACTCTATCCTCCTGAAGGTATGTGCTACCATATCTGATTCAAGATTGTATAGTTTTATTCCTTTTTCTTTTTCAGTTTGCTGGGGGATGAAAACTAGGACCTTGTGCATGCTGATGACTTGATCCTACAGTGAGCCCACGTTTCAATTTCCTTTTGGGAATGATAGTGTTGAGGAGTCCTTCCTGGGGGCCTTCCTCTGAAGTATGAGTATTTAAATCAGATGTGTGGTAGGCTTGCACAGTTCGGGTTTGGAGCCTTTCTGGGTTTTGAGTAGACCCTTGGTGCTAGAGCACTCAGTCAGCACAAACTGGGAGAGCTGCGGCTGAGCTGAGACTGCTAAGTATACAACCTGAAAGGGCTAGCTTGACACATAGGCCCCCATGGTCCCCCCAAATGTTCATACTAATTCTTATCCAGCTTAGGAAAGCATGCTCCTAAGACCCCTCTATTAGTCTTAGAATGTGGGAAGAAAGCAGGCTGAATCATGAGAATATCAGATGCAACCCAGGACGGGCATCTCTGCCAGAGGGTAAGTGCTGGTGCTGGGGAGGGGAAGGGCTTCCCCAATCTCAATCCTGGAAACTGTGTCCTTGGCCTTCAGCTGGCATTCGGGTGGAGTTGCTCTCTTGTCCTGGTCATCATGCCCACCAGGAGCCAGGCTCAGAGTGTGATGAGGAGGTTGCAGGGATGGGGTGGGCATACACAGGTCCTGAATAGAAAGTAGTAGGGGTCTGACCTTGGAACCCCAAGTCATATGAATTTTTCACTGGGTGAGCCTCCCGCTTTGGGGTTTGGGGCCAGGTCAGGGCAAGTTCTGTGAAGAGCTAGAAAGTACCAAGATTAGAGAGCAGAGCAGAGAGAGCTCGCGTGTGTGTGTGTGTGTGTGTGTGTGTGTGTGTGTGTGTGGTGTGTGCCTGTGTGTGTGTACGTATATTACTTCTGATAATGTCATTTTGAAATATCTTGAACATTGTCTTAGTTGGGGTTTTATTGTAGTGAAGAGACACTATGACCACAACAACTTTTATAAAGGAAACCATTTAATTGGGGCTGACTTACAGTTTCAGAGGTTTAGTCCACTATCACAGTGGCAGGAAACATGACGGCATGTAGACAGACATGGTGCTGGAGATGTAGCTAAGAGTTCTACATTTGGGTTTGCAGGCAGCAGGAAGTGGCTGTAAGCTTGAACTTCTAATAAAAGACCTCAAAACCCATCCTAGTGACTCATTTCCTCCAACAAAGCCACATCTACTCCAACAAGGCTACACCACCTAATAATACTACTCCCTATGGGTCTATGGCAGCCATTTTTCAAATCACCACAAATATCAATGCTCCTACCTCTTCTTTCTCCATGGCATAGTTGTGGAGTATGGAATCAAATCGAATGCACCTCAGCTCTACGACTTTCCACCTGAGATAAACTGTACATTTCATCTGAGACTCAGTTTCTTTTGTGCTGGTACTAATGTAATCAGACTTGTCCAGGACACCATGAGGATTAAGTGAGGGGTGTGTCTCTACCAGTTTGTTCTTTAGGGTTACCAACCAGCTCCCCAGTCATGACTCAGACTTATTATTAGTTCTGAATGCTTGGCCTGGCTTAGGCTCATATCTAGCCCTTTTAACTTAAATTAACCTGTTTCTCTTTATCTGCTTGCCTTGATAGGTTAGAACATAGGTGGGTGGAGTAAACAGAACAGAATGCTGGGAGAAAGAAGAAGTGAGCTCAGACTCCGACAGCTCTGCTCTCTGGAGCAGAGACGCCATGCTCCCTTCTCCCGGGCAGACGCACGCGATGAAGCTCTGACCCAGGATGGACGTAGGCTAGAATCTTTCCCGGTAAGACTGATGCTACACAGTTTATTAGAGATGGGTTGATCATGATATGAGAATTAGCCAGTAAGGGCTAAAGTTAATGGGCCAAGCAGTGTTTAAAAGAATACAGTGTCAGTGTAATTATTTTGGGGCATAAGCTAGCAGGCGGCCAGGAGCCGGGGTGCTGGGGATGCAGCCCCGCCACTCCAACAGATTATTTCCCTTCTGTATATCTTACTTTTACTGCTTCTTGTGTCTGACTACCTGGTTTCTTATCCACTTCTCTCTCGTCTTCCTTTTCTCAAGCCTAGATTTCTCTGCCTATTTATTCTGTCTGCCAGCCCTGCCTATCCTTTCTCTGCCTAGCTATTGACCATTCAGCTCTTTATTAAACCAATCAGCAGCCTTAGGCAGGCAAGGTGAAAAAAAACGCAACAACACATCCTTATATAATTAAGCACACATCCTTGCATTGTTAAATAAATGCAGCATAAACAAAACTAACACACGTTCACACAGCTAAAGTAATATTCCACAGCTTAAATAAATGTAAAACCTCTTTGCCTAGTTAAAATGATATTCCGCAACAGGTGTCCACGCAGGGTCAGCCTACAGCTGGTGGACAGCTGTGCTGTCAATACATTGTAGCAATTCATTCTCCTTCACCTGCTGGTCACTCTGGGTGCCCGCCCTGGTCATCAACAACAGCCACCACCCCCATCAGCCTCATCTCTTCTTCCAGGTCTGGAGAGGCCTCAGTTTCCACTTTCAGTTCAGAATCTGGTGGATGGACTCAGAGTTTGTGAGACAAGCCCTCCTGAAGGGAGCCCAAGGTAACAGAACCGATTCGAGAGTAGTCATGGACTTTTGTGCACATTGAGGGAGAGGCATGTAGTGGGGTTAAGAAACCTTGACAGCACATAGGAAGGATGAAGGCAGGTGGGCTGGCTGTGGTCCTTAAAGACACAGGTATTTGGAACTCTCAAATCAGATGCTCATATAGGGTCACCAAGCCCATGGGTCCTCAAGGAGAAAGAATAATTTTGGCTGCGTGTTGGACCTCCATGTTCTGGTAGAGATTGACACATTCCCTCGGGCCATGCTGGGATCCAAGTATCCCAGGTTACCTTGAGAACTTGACCCTTGGAGCGCTGCCTAGGGGGCTCCCGAGAGGTACTTTGTCTCAAAGCTTCCAAGGTACACAGAGTGAGGATGGCCTATCATTTATTCTTGGCCACAGCTCATCCTGTGGCCCAATTGAAAAGTCAAGGTTCTGGGTCTGGTTAATAATCCAGAGGAAGCAGCCCAATGTGGCTTCCCCTGCCACTGGATCACTTCATGGAGTACGGCACGCACAGGCCCTAGTGGACACACTCAGGCCCTCAACCCAGGAAGAAGCCTGCTAAGATGTTAGAACTGCCAGAACGCAGGACAGCCAAAGCTACATCTTGATGGGGCAAACTCCAGGGGAAGGGGAAATGGCCAACATTCTCCAGGCCTGTAAGTGACAAAGTGATCACTGCATGTAGGGAGGCAGAGGACCCTTGTATCTGGAGTTATGAACAGGCGGCAATGATCGTGTTCTTCCTCCTCTGACTCCACCCTTTCTGACCTGGAGCCACCACCACAGGTGGCTGGTTCAGAACTCCGACAGCGGTGTCCAGGTACGTCTTCAGTTGCATTTCCTCTGCACCCCATCTCAGCATCTCTTGCCGTATGTGGCATCTCGGGGGACTTTGGCCTGGGCTCCTCTGGACACAGCTTTAGAGACTTCTACAGCTCTTCCTCACCATCATGTCTCTGGCAGCCTTCATTAGCGAGGGTGTCCTGGAGCACTGTGGGTGGAGCTTCCAGGCTGACCATTTACAAGGCTCTAGGTTCAGTCTCCAGTAACAAGAAAATAAGGGACAGGGCTATTGTCTTGTCCTGTATCCTTTTCAAATCTTCATTCAATGGGAGACTCCCAGTCTGATGGAGGGGTGGACAGACATCCAGGGGACAGAGAAGCGGGGCTAGAACAGGAGTTTTTAAGAATGTATGATTTTTGTTGCTGTTTCTTGAGACAGGGTCTCTTTATGTAGTTGTAGCTATGCTGGAACTGTATACGTAGACCAGGCTGGCTTTGAATTCAGAGTTCCAGCCCTCTGAGTGCTGGGATTGAGGTCACGTGCCACCACACTCAGGAGAGCAGTGACTTTTTTATAGTGTAATCTCTATAAAGAAGCAGAGAGAGAGAGCAAGTCGGGGAGTCTTTATTTTCTCTTTGCTCTTGACTGTGACCTTCCCAGAAATAATGGGTATGATTTGATACTGCAGCCAAACAAACCATTCTCTCACGCCATCCGTCCTCTATCCGTCCAGGGAGTCACAGAAATGACCAGGACGCCATCTGTCCTCTATCCATCCATTCATACATCCTGCACGCCTCTTCTGAGCACTAACTGTAGCCTGGTTATGCTGAGTACCCGAGCACAGAGATGAAAGAGCCCATTCCTGCCCCATGGCACAAAGCTCAGGGAAGCTCCATTTTCACTGGCAGGGACTGAATTCAGGACTTTGAACATGCTAGGCAAGCATCCTACTGATGAGCTCTCCTAAGCCTAGGAAACTTATTTATATGTTAAAACAACAAGACTGAAATCTTTGCAGACTCTCCAAGACACAGGACAACAACAGGATATCCAAGAGGAGTCCCACTGAGAACCCATTATCAGTGGCATAGCAAAAACTAGAGGCCTTGAGCCAGACCGATGACTCTAGGGTGAACTGTGTGATTCCGTGGGCCACACCACAGCTTCCACAACAAGATTTTTCTTCTGTTTTTTTAAATTTGTTTTTGATTTGGCAGTGGGGAGGGTGCAAGGGCAGAGGGCAGATCAAGGGGGATGAGGAGATAAGAGGGATTAGAATTCATGATATGAAATCCACAGAGAATTGATAAAAGTAAAAATATGAGTAATAGCTGGAAATTAAAAGGCTGTTGGCAGTGCATGATTTCCCTTGCTCGCATCTCTCTCCTTCTGCAGGGATGAAGTTGACATCTTTGAGGACCACTAGCGAGCCTAAGTCGGTCATAATCAAGGTGAGTGGTTGGATCGGCAGGCCCCATCCACGAATGGACAATTTAACCCCATAGACCTACAGGGTAGGGGTTCTTTGAATCTTCCTTTATTGAGGCCCAGAGAGGTGGACCTCAGGATGCCAAGGTGATGAATTTAGCAGATGAAGACTTCAAGGAACTGATGCAAATGTGTTCAAAGTGCTTGTTTGATCTCATTGAGTACAAGAAATTAAAATAGGACAAAATAAAGTGTAAAATTTTAGAATTGGAAATATTGGAACTGAAATAAAAAGCTTAAAAAATGGTCCCAAACAGTAGACTGTATATGTCAAAGATGGGCACATTAGTAGCCCACGGGCTGGGGGAGATAGCTTAGCAGTTATCACTGCTCCCTGCGTTTTCAGAGACCAGCGCTCCATTCGCAGCCCCCACAGCACACAACGTCCCTTAACTGCAGCTCCAGGGAGTATGGCACACTCTTCTGGCCTCTGCAGACATCTTACAAGTGTGGCACACTCAAGTGTGGACACACATACACACTAAAGTAAATCTTAAAAACCAAGTCCTAGAAAAACCAGGTTTCCAGTATCAGAGCAAATAGCAATTCTTCCCTTGTGGGAAATGGAGGGAGTTGAGTGTGTAGCTTACAGGATGCTCCGATAACGGGCATAAGCTCTTGGCAATCTTTCCTGGTCTGTGTCCAGTCTATGTGTGCCTCTACATTGCTCTGCCTACACATCTAACCCAGTGCCTGCCCTCCCTGTTTTTTTTGGAAAATATTGGCTGGAGGCAACTCTTGGTTTTTCCAATGGAATATGCAAATTAAATGTACCACCCCCAAAGGGCACAGCCATGAACAGGGTTGGCGCCATGAGGGCAGTCCCATTCTTGGGTCCTGTAAGGCAGTAAGGGTCAGGCGTGTATGGGGTAGTGAAACAGATAGGAGGCAGTTAGTATACATTGTGGAATAAGGAGTACAACATTTTATGGTTAAATGGCTTAAAGTAATGGGAGAAGTGGGGCATCCAGTCTTCCGGGAGGAAGATGTGCCTCAGTTCTTACCTCTCCAGAGGTCTGCACCACTGAGGTGTAGTGTTCTGTTTTTAATGTCCTGGGAGCTACCTTTGTCTGTGTTGCCCATATAATAGTAGAGGCAGTGATTTTGGAGTCAGATTGTAGAAATGTTCTAACCCAAAGAATAGAGAAAAAAATTACCAAAGGAAAAATAGCAGCACCTCAGGGGTCCGAAGGACAGTAAATAACTGACCATCCTTGCCATAGGCTGCCTGGAAGGAAAGGAAGGTGAGGCAAGAGAGAATATATAATGTCCAGTGTTTGAGAAAAACACCACTCTCAAGACCCTCCAGATCTCCAAACACAATACAAAGACCTAGAAAATGTTTCCTGCATCACTGGAGTTATCAAGGGTCAGCTCCAATGAGCTGGCTTCAGACACTCATCTTCAATAAGCCCATTAAACAAGCAATGTGAAAGCAGGGAAAGGATTTGTTTGTTGTGATCATAATTAGAAAGAGGGGCAACAAGATAACAAGAAGATAATAAAAATATTAAATTAAATTTAAATACTTTTATTTATCAAAATAAGCCAAAGAGTGTTCCAGGATATTTAATCACACTGTGGAACCCAAGGTTGCATTATTGACTACAAAAACTTGTTTCTAGTTGTGTGTGGCTCAGCCCTAGCACATATCTCTAATATAAGAGCTTTCTGCATAAATATTGTAAACAGGATTAAATAAAATCAAACAGATTTTAATTCTGTCAAGAGGCAGAACAAGTAATCAGCTGACAGGAAAAAAACCATAGAGAGCAAGAGGGAGTCAGGAGGACGGATAGAGAGACACACAGGAAGTAGAAGGGACCATTCAGTTTAAGGAGTTTTGAGTAGGAGAACGCTCTTTCTGGGACATTGGCGGAGGAGAAAGGTCAGTTAGCTGCTTTCTCTGCCTCTCTGAGCTAGCAGGTTTTCATCCCAGCATCTGGCTCCTGATTCTTTATTGGTAAAATCAAACAGTTGAGATTTAGTTAAAAACAAGAGAGATAACAAAAAAGCTATAAACTTGAAGATAGTGTTAGTAGTACTTGTGAAAAGTGGCACTTCCCGGAACATAAAAAACACTCACAATCCCATCAGAAAAAACAGACAGCCTAGAGGGGGAGCAAGCTGTAGACACCCCCTTAGCCAGAGTTTGAAGCGATATTAAACTTCAGTCAGACCCAAACCAGGATTCATTATTGTGACGGTTAATTTTGTCATCAACTTGATGGGGTTTAGAATAGGAAAAAAACCTCTGGGCACATCTGGAAGGGAGCTTCTGTATTAGGTTGACTAAGTTGGGAGCACACTCTAAATACGGGCAGCACCATTCTATGGGCTGAGATTTCGGGTTGAACAGAAAGGAGCAAGTGAGCCTGGCATGGGTGTTTCTGACTCTGCTTCCTGACTGCAGATGGGGAGCCTCAGTTGCAGGCTCCTGCTGCTGTGCTTCCCGGCCATGATGGACTGTACCACCAAACTGTGAGCCAGAATTAACCCTTCCTGTCCCAGGAACAAGTAAAGTAACTAATACAATTACTTTTTTTTAACTGTTAAAAGTTAATACACAGGTGCTGAAGAAAAGGCTCAGCAGTTAAGAGCACTGACTGCTCTTCCAGAGGACCTGGGTTCAATTCCCATCACCCATGTGGCAGCTCACAACTGTCTGTAACTGTTCCAGGGGACCTGACACCCATGGCAAAACATCAATGCCCATAAAATAAAATAGAAAAGTTAATACACATTGAAGAGGATATCTTATATACATTACCAATGAATAAATAATTCAAACAAATTTAGAAAATAATTTTCTATCCTCTTGCCGAGCTGTGTATCTGCCTAGCCTGCAACTCTACTCCTGGCTGTGTGCACGTGTGCCATGAAGCACGCACCATCTTAAATGGTTTTTAGATTATTTGTGTGTGTGAGTGTTTTGCCTGCATGTATATCTGTGCATGTACCTGGTGCCCACAGTGGTGAGAAGAGGGTGTCAGATCCCCTGAAACTGGAGTTCTGATGGTGCTGAGCCACAGTCTGGGTGCTGGGAACAGAGCCTGGGCCTTCTGCAAAGGCAGCAAATCCCTTTAATCACCGAGTCATGTCTCCAGCCCCATGTACGCACCGTCCTTCTAAGAAAAAAAAAAACTAGAATTACGCTAAGTATGAGATAGTCACAGAGTGAACTCGATCCTACAGGAGGAAGCCTCCCCTCCAGCCTCCTTCCACCCCCGCCTCTGAAAACTCCAATCAGAACCTGGCGACTGTAACCTGGTGAGGTCACAGAGCTCCTAGAGGGAGAGTCCTCAGAGATGAGGGTTTTGTGAGCTCTTCAGATTGGAGCTACGCTTTGGTGCTCGAGAGGCGTGGAGGAGTCACAGCTCCTTGACCATGGTGAGACTTGCCTATGGCTTGTTAGTTGCATGGGCTTGAGGGTTCTGGACTCCACTAGCAGTGTTTGGGCTGCCAGCCACAGTTGCCAGCTGTACCCCACTTACCTTGGGCACACGCAGCAGGAAAGGGGTCGATGGGTACAGGAGACATTTGTGGACATGATGTTTTTCCACCAGGCCCTGTCTGTTCCCGTGTTCTGCCTGTGAAATTTGTACTGTGCTCATGTGAGCAGTTTCTTGTCAGGATGGAGGCTTGGATCCTTCAGAGATCAAGCAAAGGGCTTGACCTAAAATGTAGTCTGAGCAGCTGGGGAGGTATCTCTGTCCATGAAGGCTGTGCCTGTTTTACAAGTATGAGGAGGACCCAAATTTGATCCCTAGACCCCAAGTCTTAATCTGGGTTTGATAGTATGTTCTTGTAATCCTAAAGCTGGGAAGACAGAGGTGGGAGGATCCCTGGGGCTCTCTGACCAGCCAGCCTAGCGTAATTGACAGTTTTCCTACAAAATCTGATCCCTGGCCTCCATACATGCTTTCACACACATGTACACACATATATACACACACACACATGAACACCTCACAAATACATTAAAAAATTTTAAAGTGTTTTTTGACATTAAGAATTACCTGGGTTTTCCTAAATGATGGTCATATGTGATAAGTTTCAGTGCTTGATTCCACAGAGCTTAACTTGCCCTGTTCTTGGGATGAACCCCAGGTTGCCCAGCCCCTAAAGCCTCTTGACAGATCCCTAGATTCTGCACCAGACTCTCTCTGCTGACTCCCAGTCTGGCCCATGGAACTCATTGAATTCTCCCAGTAACATGGATGGAGAACTGGGTGCTCAGAGAAGAGTCAGTCTGGTGGGCACTGGGCTCCTTTCACCTTGTCTTCGCCTCTCCCCTGACCTCTGCTCTGCTGCTCCATCCCAGTCTGAGGAGATGAAAACCACTGGGCAAAACTGTGTGCAGGGCCCTCAGCACAGCAAGGAGGCCCTGAACAGACTTAACCAAGCCATCCAGCAGTTGAAGAAGGAAGTGGGGAATGCTCAGAGCCAGGTGAGCGAGAGCTGCAGGAGGGAGCCATTGCCATGACACTTCCTCTAGCTCCCTTCATCCTTTGGAAGAAGTGAGTTTTTGTATGTGTGTGTGAGAGTGTATTGTGTGTATGCTGTGTGTGTGAGAATGTATGTGTGTGTGAGTGGATGGGAGAGTGTATGTGTGCTTGTGTTAGTGTGTGATGTGTATGTGTGTGAAAATGTATGTGTGTGTGAGAATGTATGTGTGCGTGAGTGGATGGAAGAGTGTATGTGTGTGGTATGTGTGAGTGTATGTGGGAGAGTGTATGTGTATGTGCTTGTGTATGTGTATGAGAGTGTATGTGTGTGCATGTTTGAGTGTGTGTGCATGTGTGAGATGTATGTGTGTCTGTCTGACTGCATTTACCACTCATGATTCCCTTTGCCTGGGCTGTTTTATATAAAAAGACAATTAACCAAGAAATTATATATCAACGCATATTGCTTGGCCTTCCCTTTGTTTGGTTTTTGTTTTGCCTTGTAATAATTCTGAGCTATGTTCAGAAATGACAAGATTAGCCAGAAACTCAGTTTTCCAGTTTATTCTAAACATGTGACAATTGAGGTGGGTGTTGTAGCACACGTTTGTAACTCCTGTGCTCGGAAGATCTCAAGTTCCAGGCCTCCTAGTGCAGTAGGGTGAGCTCAAGAGCATCTGAGCTACAAGGCTTATTAGCTTGGGTTCTGGCTCATCAGCAGAATGTTTGCCTAGCCTGCCAAAGGCCCTGGTTCTCAAGTCCCTCGCTGAAAAACCAACCATAAAATAGAGCCCCAATCCTTGTGCTTGGGAGGCTGAAACAGAAGAATTTCCAGATGAGGGCAGTCTGGGTTGCACAGTGAGGTCCAGGCAAGTCCAGACTAAACAGACTGAGACACTGTCCCAAGACAAACAAGCGAACCCACAAAAACAACACAACACAGAGAAACAAAAGCCCCCCATCCCTGTCCCAAACCAAAGGAAGCATGCAGAACTGGCAGCAGCAACCTGGTGGGAAGATCTGGCTCCTCACAAGGCCCAGCAGCTTCCTGTGGGCCGCCCCCAGCTCTGCCACTCCTGACTGGGGCACCGTGCCTGTCCAGCAGCAGAGGAGGGCCTCTGACTCTACACTTCTCCAGGAAGGAATGTGTCACTGGAGAAAAGGACTGGATGCATGTAGAAGTCCTGTCTTAGCAGGAGTGGGAGAGACCAAGTCTCTCAGAGAACAGGATTCTGTGTGCTGGCCTTCATCTTCATCAGGCAGGCCCTGATGGTGTTTGAGGCCCCGGTGTGCAGGGAGAGGATGCTCACGGATACCTTTCTTCTCCCAGCCTCCTCTTTCTACCCATGAAGTCCTCTCAATTGATCTACCTGGCTCATCCCGTACCCCTGTCCAGAGCTTTCTGTTCAGGGTCTGGTTTTACTTTTTGCAGATCCAAGTGTCTTAGGCTTGAGGTGTATTCTTGGTGTAGGGTTCCTTGTCCAGAAACTGGTGGCTTTGATGCAAATGACCTGGTTGTGGTTCTGGTGGTGACAGAAGGGTGGGAAGGCCCACAGTGGTTGAGTCTCCCAGTAGCCAAGCTGCCCCGATTGCCCAGGCAGCAGCACCCTCACCAGGCAGATGTTCACTCTGGCTCCCACGGGAAAGGAGACTTTCTGTTCTGATTTGGGTGGTATTGGGGGCAGAGCCCAGAGTGATCCCCATAGTGGTGAGCACTTTGCTACTGAGCTGCTGCCAGCCGTCTATCCCTTTTCAGTGTGAAGTCTCCCTGAGTTCCCCCGAGCTGGAGTCTAGGAAGGCCTTGAACTTTTGATCCTCCTGCCTCAGCCTCTCGAATAGCTGGGACTACAAAGTCTTCAGATTTTGTTCTTTTCTTGTGAAACACTAAACCAGATTATCTATTTATTTATTTTGGTTTTTTGAGACAGGGTTTCTATGTGTAGCTTTAGTGCCCGTCCTAGAACTTGCTCTGTAGACCAGGCTGGCCTTGAGTTCACAGAGATCCGCATGCCTCTGCTACCTGAGTGCTGGGATTAAAGGTGTGCACCACCACCACCTGACTGTTTCTTTGATAAAGAATATTTGGCACATCTTTAATCTTAAGTCATGTGAGGAGTGCCATCATTGAGACACAGAATTCTTAGCCATCCCAGTTGGTGGCCTCCAGTGTCATCTTGAGTGCAGGGAGTGGGCAGTATTTTTTTCTTCTCTTTCTTTCTTTTTAATCTCGTGGTTTAGACATAGTGAGACAAACACACGAACTACAGAGCAAGCCTACACTTCTTCCCAACCACAGATCACACCCTCATTGACCCCAGGGCTTTGAGGAACCTCAGGACTTCTGAGGCCAAAGAAATGAGGCTAAGAGTATCTTTCTTCCTCTGCTCATTGCTCCATCCCAGCCCTGTGAACTAGAGAAAGCCAAAGACGGGGAGGCCGGGCCGCATGTGGCCTCAAGCAGTGCTAAGGGCAAACTGGCCTGGCTGGAGGCCGCCCTGCAGCGGGCCAAGCAGGACATGGCACGGCAGCTCCGTGAGTACCAGGAGCTCATGATCGTCAAGCTGGGCCTGGACTTTGAGATCGCCACCTACCGCAGGCTTCTGGAGGGCCAGCAGCAGAGGTGAGGTGCCAGGAAGTGAGGGAACGCATGACGGTCTTCCCACACCTTAATAACACCTTGAATGAAAAAGCCCTAGCACTGGTGCGGGCGGAGTCAGTGTCAGACAGGAGACAGTGTAGGTGCCAAGGCCAGACTCAAGGAGCTCGCAGGGTAAAGGCTTATCTGGTCTGGGGGTGTGGGAGTCAGAGGTGTCTGTTTTGGGGACCCTGGTAGGAACTGGTAGGAACCTCGGGGAACTGAGTTAGCTGTGGCTTCTTTTTGTCGCACAGGCTTGGTCTGGGACTTGGGGCAGGGAGCTCAGGTAAGGAACTTGGGTAAGACGTAAGCTCTTCTCCTCCCGCCCCCCCCCCCCGCCCCAATTCCCTCGGTCCCCTGAGAAGGCAGCAGGCAGGGGTTTATCTGTCTCTCTGTGCAGATCGCGGTTGTGGTGGGGGCTGTTTCTTCTCAGGGGGTGATTCCCCGTGTGTTTGGGAGAGGACTTAGAAGTCCCTGGCAGGGGTTGGGCAGGAAGGCTTTCCTGAGTCCTTTGGTCTCATCTCTCACGTGACTCTCTATGAAGCTCCAGGCACCGATGTCACTCGAGGTTCGGGCGTGACCTCAGTTTCTGTACCACCTCGAGCACCAGGAGTCTGTTCCCGTGGCCTGGATGTGAGCGCCCCCGGCGGTGTTTGCACTCTCTGCAGCTCCGCGGGCTGTGTTGGGGGCTTTGGCTGCCGTGGCTCCCGTGGCTCCCATGAGTGTTGAACCCTTCCCTCTCCACTCCCCTCCTGAGAAGACTAGGAACTCGTGCTTCTGCCTGAAGACTTGGCCCTCTGGTCTCAGATTCCCCGCCCACAAAGCAGGCCCTCACATCAATGTCTCTTTTGTGCCTCACCTGGAACTAAACGGGATGCTGGTGTCATTCTGTACCAACGCCTGTGTCTTACCTGAACCTTGGACCCTGCCCCTCTTACTTGCCCCATCCCTTTTCCTCTAGGCTCCCCCTTTAATAAAACTTTCTGCGGTGGCTAAACAGCCAGCCTGTCTGAACCTGACTTTCTGGCTACCTCACAGCGGAGTTCTAGCTCGGCTCCAACCAATACTGTAAAAGGATATGATTTGTTCAGGAGGCAGAGGCAGGCGGATCTCTGTGAGTTTGAGCCCAGTCTGGTCTACAAGAGCAAGTTCCAGGACAGGCTCCAAAGCTACAGAGAAACCCCTCTGGGGGAAAACGATACGCCGCTGTGTGGGTGCAAAGTGACTTACATTTTGGGTGACTTTACTGTACAACTAGGGGCTTTATGATGGGGCAGGTGAAATGAGGCAGGGCACATCCCACAGACTGTGCCGGGGTCCACAGTCAACTGCCGGGCACAGGACTCTGTCCCCTCACCCACTCCTCCACTCTGTCAGCCTTGTGTTGGAGCTGAGAGTGTTAACGCCAGACTTGTACATGCTAGGCGTGTGCTCCCCCGCTGTGCTACATTCCCGCACCCCTCCCCCCTTTGGAGAAAGGGTCTCCCTTTGCAACTCAGACTGGCATCGAACTTCCTGTGGCCCAGGACTGAACTCAAAATTCTCCTGCCTCAGCATCCCAAGTGCTGGGGTTACAAGTATGCACCACAATACCCAGCTCCCCCTGGAATGGCGGTATAAGGTCCACACGGTGAGTAAGACACTCTTACCTTGCTCTCTGGATGCAGGACACTGGCACAGAGAAGGATGACACGGGGAAGATAGACCACCTCTGCTGCCCCGATACACACTAAGGGCCAGGCTCAGGTTGAGGCTGGGCAAAGATAGTCAAAACTGGGTGGGCCAGACCTGGGTTATAATGTAGGAAGTGATGGTAGTGGGCCAGGAGCACACTGAGGCACGGGGAAGCATCCTCACCTCTACTTCCAGACCGGAGGGATACGCTGGTTTTCACAGGGGGGGCAGAAGATAGAACAAGTCTCTGAAGGCAAGGTGCTGGAGCAAGGCTGGCTTTACAGGCCTGGAGAGCAGAGCGTGCTCAGAGCCTTCACATTCTTTCCCCTTGCGAAAAGGATTACATCATCAGTGCGCCTTGGGAACAACAGTTGCTGCTCTCTGTCTCTGGGTGGGGCGCCCGCGCGTCATTAGCCAGAGGCCCAGCATCGCCTTTTAAGGCGCAGAAGTGCCTGAGTGTCTGCTGCTTCCCTGCTTGAGCACCTGGGGAGCAGGTATCCAGAAGGCTTCTTTCCTGGGTAAACACAACAGTCTCATGGAAAAGGAATGGATGGAAACTTGCTTGCTGGTGACCACGCATATCCTCACCAGCCCCACGGGTCTTCTCTGGCCCCCTCTAATGAGATACTCACTGTTACAGACTCTCCCAAAGCAAGGAACCCTGGGGTGCAGCCCCCTCTGTGAGCGTCCAGAGTCCAGCGCCTTGTCCCTTATATTTTGCTTTTCAAAACTCAAAAAAAGAGTTTGATTTTCAAAGGCAGGTTTTTGTATTTTTTCTGTTCCAGTTTGAGTGTATGTGTTAATGAGGGGGCTTTGAGGGAAGGGCAGACAGGATATCTCAGGGACCTACAGGCAGGACTTTGGCTCCCCAGAGACTGGATGCCCACATTTTTCCTTTCCAACCCCTAAGTTTTGACTTCCTGGACATCTGTCCAGAGATCCCAAGGGCCTGAGGTCGGGTCTAGGTTGGGGCCAGGGCTAGGGCCATTTGAATCATCAGAATATTTGTGGTTTGGGAGCTGTTCTCTGAGAGGTTCCCCAAGCCGCGGACCACATTCCAGCGAGGGATGGAGGAGAGCCGCCTGGTAGCTTTACGAGGAGTCATTTGTCCTCTGAAGGGAGCAGGGCTGTCCCCTGTTCAGTCATTCCTTCTCCTTACAAGCGTGAGGCAGGAGAGGAGGACAATTAAGGGTCATGAGAAGAGGGACAGCCCCTTACCTAGGATTTGGTGTGTATGTTTAACTGGCTGGATACATTTAACACACTGCCCGAATCAGGGAAGAGGGCCTTTAAGAGAAAAAAAACCTTTCTCTGAGCGGCAATCTGAGTCGAGCGTCAGAGCCGTGAATGGGTCGTGTCTGTTAAAGACTGAGTGTTCAGCTTTGAGTCTAATTTATGGGCATTCATCTCTTATTCTACACCTGAACAATGCATCTCACAAGTCTCCTACATTTTTTTTAAGATGTATTTTTTAGTTTTATGGGTACGTGTGTATGCCTGTGTAATGTTTGCAGCATGCATGCAGTTCCTGAAGAGGTGAGAAGAGGGCACTAGATCCCCTAGAACTGGAGTTGCAGGCTGCTGTGAGCCCCTGACATGAGTGCTGTGAGTTGAACTCAGGTCCTGTGGAAGAACAAAAGGTTCTTAACTGCTGGGCCATCTCTCCAGCTCCCACAAGAGGGAATTCTTTAAGATAAGAGAAGTAAAACAGTGTATATATTTTTCCTTTTCCTTTCTTTCTGAATGCTGGGATTAAAGGTGTGCACCATCAAGCACTTAAGCTTTACTTATTTTTACACTTTAATTTTTGAGCCTGGTTGTAAATTGCATCCTTTGAATAAAAAGTTTAAAAGCTACAAAATACACACATACATACACACACAGACACAGACACACACACACACACTCTCTCTCTCACACACACAGTGCTTAGGTCTCTCTCTCCTTTCTCCTCCTCAATAAACTATACTCAGCTCATACTGACTTGTCGGGATTTCAAGCCCCTATGGGAAAGACACCTTGGGAACTCCCCCCCCCCAGAAGTCATTCATAAAGAGGGCCTTCAGTTGGCTCTGTGCCCCCACTGCTTCTCTGCCCCACACTTCACAGCTCTCAGATGTGCCAGAAGCTGACCTGGGTTCATTTTTCAATTCAAGCTCCCTGAGGACAGTGACGGCCTCATTCACTTGTCTTTAGGGCTCAGCCATATAAGTAGCTGTGGACAGATGGAGACTTTCTGGTCTAAACTGATCTGTCCAGGCCATCTCATCTTACACAATTCCTTGAAGTCATTTAAAAATATTTCCCGCAGGGCTGGAGATTGAACCCATGGCCTTGTGTGTGCCAAGTGTGCACTCTGCTCCAATCTGCACGCCTAGTCCCTCATGGGCATTTAGAACACATGTAACATTCAGGTGCTGTCTTCACTCGGCTACAGCTAGATCAACAGCAGGCAGGAACAGGAAGCTTAGCCTAGGGGTCAGAATATGGAAGACCGTGTTTCCAGAGGAACACTTCCCAGATTGCTGCCCAGTGGCATGAGGCCATCACCTCTTCTATGTGACACCCAGTGTCCTCCTGGGACACCTGCCTAACCAGCACACATGGTGTGGTAATCAGGGTTCTCTAAAGGAATGGAACCCAGAGAATGCATACATATTACATAGGGGGTGATTGGCTTAAACAATATGGGCTAGGAAGCCCAAACATGGCTGGCTGTACACTAGAGAGGCTGAGGACCACGTCGCTGCTGAATCCATGAGGGTGCACGTCTCTCAGCTGGCCCAGTCAGGCACCAAAGTTTCAGAATCATTGGTCTTGGCCCACAGTGTGAGTCTGAAGAAATGAAGGATGCCTGCAGCACTCACAGACTAGATGCGCTCACCAACAAGGAGCAAAAACAGGCAGGTAAAATCAGCATTACCTTTTTTTTCAGGCCTCTTTATAGCTGGTCCATAAAGTGCTGCATACTTTGGGGGAGGGGTTCCCCCTCAGCTAATCTTTCCAGGAACCATCCCCACAGATCTGCTCAGGAACAGGTTTCTTAGTTGATCCCAGAACAGTCTAGATTAACCACCACATGTAGGGTCTGTCCACATCCCAGTACTGCACTCCCGTGTGCTCACAGATCCCTGAAGCTTGGAGGGTGTGAAAGTTGTGTAGCTGGAATGGGAAGGAGGGAAGAGAGGATCAGGGCTCAGCAAGATGAAGGAGTAACAGAGGAGAAACCCAGTCATGGTCCAACTTGTCTGGCAGAGCAGCAAAGTTGACAGGGAGGGGCAGAGAAGTGGCTCATCAAGACTGCAGCTTGATATGAGCTTCCGCCTGGAACAGTCCTAGAGGGCTGGGGCTGGGGCAGGGGTTGGTGCAGGGGCAGGGGCTGGAGTAGGGGCTGGGTAGGGGCTGGGGTAGGGGCTGAAGTAGGGGCTGGAATAGGGGCAGGGGCTGGAGCAGGGGCTGTGGCAGGGGCTGGGGTAGGGGCTGGTGCTGTTGTTGGACCGTGGCTGTGTCTGTGACTGGCTGTGGCTGGGCTGTGTCTGTGGCTGGGCTGGGGTTAGGGGCTGGGCTGGGGATGGGCTGGGGCTGGACTGGGGATGAAGTAGAAGCATGAAGCAGGGCTGGGGTAGGGGCAGGGGCAGGGACTGGGGTAGGGGTTGGGCTGGGGCTGGGCTGAGGCTGGGCTGGGGCTTCAGGGCTGGGGTCTGTACATAATACGCTCTGCTTCTTAGCTATGTGATATCCTGGGGAGAGGGCTGTCAAGAAGATTCACATTCTGGAACTCTCTGGGGACTCTGTCTATCAGAGGTGGCTGGCATTGGCTTGATCCTAATTCTGACAAAGTCTTTGTTCAGGCTGTCTCCTGCTCTCTCAATAGTCTTCAATGTGAGGGCTTCCACTTCTGCATTGTCTTCTGAGCCTGGAAGGGGAAGTTTAGCGGTGCATTCTGCTCTAAAGATGTATTTCAGAGACAAGACTTAAGGCCACAGGACAGCCCCTAGTTGCAGGATATGGGCATTTCTCAATGCTTCTGACTTCTGATCACAAATATGCATGTAATAAGAGACTGGTGGTGGCCCTGCTCCCTGGAGACATTTTACTTTATATTCTACAAAAGAGCAATAAATAATAAATGCAGATGGTGGTTGCTATCTGCTGGCTATTGTACATCTCTGAAACTGCTTTCCTCTCCCATGAACGCTGAGTTGGGGGCCCCCTCTTGTCACCCCTGT